AGTTTACGTTTAAGTAAAAGTGACATGTATAATATTAATTATACAAGTATATTTATTAATAGAGCTCAATTTATTCTAAATTACTTTGTACATTTCCTTCATTCTGGATTAGGTGGATTTTGAGCCCTGCCTTGAAATACTGAAACGCCCCATGATCTTCATCGTTAGGATTGATTACCCAGCAACATTCTATATTATGCGTTTTTTTAAAACCTTCAAAATAGGGCACTACTTGAAGACGGTTAAAAACATAGTGAGTGTTTGGGTGCCCATTTTCACGTAGATGGGCATTTGAGTCACCTTTGAAGACTCACCCAGGCATGAACACCTACAGCAATCGTCAGCAAAAAATACTCTCTTGCTCAGTTAAGAAATCATTTTGAGTAAGTTACCTATTTACCAACCGCCTCGATAGTGCATTCCCTATCGGATGTGTGCGTGTTTGTATTTTAGCAGATCGAATCCAAGAAACATTTTAAAACTTTTGGTCTCTGATTTATCCTGCTAAACGATCGTTAGTATTTTTCTTCTAAAAACGAAAAAAACTCATTTCCTTTATATTACGCCGATTTTTGCTTTCATTGAGCACATTTATTGTGCGTTAAACTATTAAGGATGCATGGCTTAATGGTCAAATATATTCAGATAGTTTTGTGAAATCGCTAATTCTTAGTCTGCCATATTTCCAAATTACGTATGTGCTGATGTTGGACTTTGTGAAAATGAACGGTCCATGCGTCGGGAACAAAAAATTTTTATTCGATGGTGGTCATTGCTGTGTCAACCCATTTGATGTTGCATAGGGGTTGCTTGCGTGCGTTATTACCACACTTTAAGACGTAAAATCATTCACATCTGATAATCTGACTTTTACAAAACTGATCTAATGTCTGGTTATCGTAAAATAACCCCTGCGTCAATAAACGGACTTTTATGGTTGAAATTAGAAAAAAAAATAATTTTATTTGCAGCAATGTCTGTTTTATAAAACATTTAAGAGCACTTACCCATTTATGAAAAGAAAACAACATGTTTGTTAACAAAAGCGAAGTCTAAAACAGATGTTAACACTGGAAATTAACTGAATATTTTGTAACGATACATTTGCTTGGATTTACGAACAAACGTGTGTAGACAGTTACTGCAGATGAGTAGAACAGTTATTCGAATGGGCTGAACAAGTGAGCAAATAACGCAAGATTTGAGGTGTTGGGATACTCTTATATCAGATTATGTCATCAGGGTTCATGACTGAGGTCATGTGCAGCATGTGGTTAAACATTGACTACTTTTAGTATGGACATATTTACCACTAACATGTAGCAAACTGTGAAAGACGGGCCACAACGGGCCTGGGGAAAATAATTGCTTGGTGTCCGCTCTACTGTTGGGTGGC